CAGTATTTCATTAAAGCACTGCTCTCTTTATATTACAATTACATTACAATATCCTACAGCTTCAATAAATTGAATCTGTTGTAAGATTCATTTCATATGTTTTGGGACTTCATAATATGTAGCATGTATGTATATGTTGGTCAGAGACATTTATTATTCTTAGACAGCCTAAATTTAAATGTCATATGCATGCAGTAATTATGGCTGAAAGCAGTTCTGAGATTCTATGTATAGAGTAGAACCAGAACAACAGATACTGCGATGAAGAATGACAATTAAGAAAAAAGCAACACTCTGTCACCCACTGGGGTAGTTCTTCATGTCCTATCCTGTATGCCAAGATGCACGGGCTGGCCTCAAAGTCCTATATCACAGTCTTTGACACCAGACATCATCAGGGATATGAGCTGATAATGCCTGCCTCACTGCACCTACTGACTGCTTGACCAAAGCCTGTGCACCTGGGTAAAGTGTTTGATGAGATACGTGAGAACTACGCACAAAAAGGGTAGCTGTTCCCACTTCTCTTGATTTAAATTTATCCAAACAAATACATAAAATATAATAAAAAGACTGATTTGCAAAGTAAGAACAGAAAGTAAAAGCATCCCTGAAAACTCCAGCAGGCACACTGTGCTTCTATCCAGTTACGATAGAGTATGTTGTCTGAAAAACAGACAGTTTAATCCCAGCTCTTTAGGTGACATGGGAATAGCAGTTGAAAGAACAGATAATACATCACCTCCAAGGTCTGAAAACCTCCACCCAAACAGAATGGGGGCAAACCACAAATGTAACACGATACTCCCCTAGAACACTTGTAATACGCTAGCTCATGGGCCCACCTGACACTGGGGTCCTCCAGAATTATCAATATTAGTCAAATTCCTGCCAATACAACATGGATATTTAATGATTTGTTTGATGTTGCAACAAACATACACCTCTGATAGGAGAAAAACTCAGAACTAGAAGTAGAGAGGATGTCTTCAGGGGGCAATAAAAATGTTTTCATTAACTCAGAGGTTCACTGAAATCCAAAACTGTATCATGGGAATTATAAAGTGTCACTGCTAGACTGTTTTATGATGATGATGTTCAACACAGTAATCGTTCCCACCATTAAAACAGAGCAAAAGTTTAATAACTAAATGCACTAATCCGCATCTACATAACATCTACTGTTGAACTCTTTTACAATAAAACAGTATACTGAACTGTAGAAAAAGATATTGACACTGTTGGAAGAAAGTAATGATATTAATGTGCACATTTCACCTGTACTAAATGTTACACAAATGATTTTTCCAATTGTTCTGGTAAGTGCTTCAGTGACGCACAAACTGCGACAATTTGTTTTACAAGATTTTGCTTTTCTGCAGCACATACTTCATGCTAGCTTAAACGTCTTGTTATTTACCAAGGATACACAATACAGCTTAGTTAGCTTTCAGACTATATTTTGTCCGCAGGTGATGCATTATCATGCATGTAGCATGATCCGCGCTTTTCGTGTATTCATTCTGCAGATAAGAGAAATCAAAGTAGTTTGTAGGTACTGTTCAAATGCAGAGACCAACAGACAAATTGATACAGAATGGAAAATTCAGTAAATCTCAAATAGGCAAACTGCAAATGCAGGCACAACGTGTGTCTTGAAATCTGTTTTCTCTAATCCACTACTAAATGCAGGATGAGGGAATGAGAACACAGCGTCTTTTCTGACAGGCTGATGAAGGAGAGAGAGGGAAATTAAAGACAGAATTGTGCCTTGCCATTAGGGCACTCCCTGACAGATGCAACACATGGGCGCATACAATTAGAACTTATTCCTGTCAGAAGCAGCTGATGTGAAGTCTGTGCATTCACACACACACAGATGCATGTGCATCTGTGTGTGTGCATTTACACAAACGCGCAGATGCACATGCACATGCCCATACATACACAGTTTGGCTTCTCAGGGAGCTTAGGATAATCAATAGACAGTCAGTAGGCAGGCGATCTGACCAAGAAACCTCTCAAACACTGCTGTTTGTGTTCCCTTGTCCTTAATCGACTAAAAGCTCTGCAGAACCTGGCATGCTGCCAACCACACAGGATTTTATTTCTCCACAGAATGTGCAAATATTTAAATAAAGTGAATCATAAATCATACTGAGCAGTGGTATTAACATATATATTGCTCAGTCTACTCTGACAAGATCATCATTTAAATGTCATTTAAACTAATTGATAGCAGGATTTCCTCCTTACTTTTAATATTTAGCAATAAATGTCTTTTTTCCTTTATTATTATATAATTTTTAAACTAGGGGTAGATACTATTAAACTAAGGCTGTGACAACATGTTTATGACAGGGTAATTATACAAAAAATATGATTCTGTCCGTCATGATCTTCCATAGAACCTTGAAATGAATGAATACATAAACACATAAACATGTATGAAATTTACACCATATTTCTAAATCCGCATGATTCAACCTACTCAACCTATATAATCTCATTGTGTATCCCTACACATCATATTTTAACAGTGCAATTGTTGAATTTGATTATTTAATAACTGTATGCCATTTTATCCAAATAGAGCCCTATATGGAACCAAGTTTAGAATTGAACCAGGATTAGAAAAGGATTTAATTCACATCTTGTGCTTACAGTATGCTATTTATGATGAATCTTCAGTTAGGATTTGCTGCCGGTTGCCATGGAATCTTAAAAGACTGATGAAACTACATTGTGGCCAGAGAGGCACATGCAATTCTGAATGAACCACAATTATCTTCCCTTTGTAATCCTCTACGAAGGACCAATTATGTTGATTGGGAAATAATACAGTCCTAAATCAAGTGTCACAGGTTTGGATTTTTTGAAGTCCAAAGGTAGAGGAGAAAGCAGGATTCTAATTATCCTTTCAGGCAAATAGGCTCTTACGAAATGTGTATTATCATTTGTTGCTCTGTGGTTCTGCACAGAGGAGGCACTATATAGCATTCTTTCCAGCACAACAAATCATCAGTAATGCGTGGTGTGAAGCACCATAAACTTTCCAGCACAGTAGAGCCAAGTGCATCACTCACTGCTGAAGGATGCCATGACTTCACAAAAGAGTCGCTGCTCACTGGTGACAGGGCTGGAGATGAATATATAATCCCCCGTCCAAGCCCGATGATCTTGCCAGTCAGATGCACAAGACATACAGCCAAGGCCTAACTGAAGAGCAGATGAAGCATATAACCCGTGCGAGAGAGGGACAGTGAGCCATTACTATAAATGAAAACAACAACTGAACGATTATCTATCACTGCATAATTATAGCTAATACCGGCTTTAGTATTCTTTCTCCAAAATCAGTTTGCTTAAATGTAAGCTTGAAATATTGTCAGTGCTCAGTGAATGTCACTAAATGATGTAAAATGAAATCAGACACAAATGACCTATGTTATAATGACCTAAAGCCAGATCATACATACTCTACCAGACAGGGCAATCTGGCATTACAGAGTGAAGGGAAAGCACACAACTTGGTTTCCTCCTGATTGTGAAGACATTACCGAAAACAATACTCACAATCTCGTCAGTACTTCTTTAGCCAAAGGCAGTCAACACTACAGCCTCAAGAAAAGAAGAAATTAAACACATGTTGTTTGTTCATCTGAAATTTCAGTTTAAACAGGTAGCTGGTAGCCTAAATTATTTCACTTCACATCAAAGTTTGGTACATTAAAAACTCTTGAGCTGGGGAAATTACATTGTTCTAGCAGGCTGTGTCTCTTTTGCTGTGAATAGAGGAACGATTCACTGTGATTCACCACAGCTTGGATATATGAAATGTAACATACATACAGGTCTCGAATATACACTATGTCCAAAAGGTTGTAGACACCTGCTCGTCTAATGTGTCTTCCAAATTCAAGGTCTATTAATAGGAAGCTTTACACTAAATGTTGCAACATTGTGAGGATCTGATTGCATTCAGCCACAACAACACTTGTGGGGTCAGGTAGTGATAGATGATTGGTTCTGGGTCACAGATGTCAGTCCAACTCATTCCAAAGGAATGATGTTCTATCAATCCAGAGAACGCAATTCCAGAGACTAACGCTGGGAGGGCTTTAGACCCCTCTAGCCAGTGCTTGGCACTGGGCATGCTGACCCTTGGCTCATGTGCAGCTGCTCCAGAGCATCACATTCTATTGACAACGCTTTCTGTGATTATATGATATGTGCACAATTGAATGCCTCTGTTAGCAATGGGGGAACCCCAAAGTAGCTGAATTCAAAGGGGTTCGTGGAGACATTCTGGACATTTAGTGTAACAGTAAAAAGTAAACTGTCAGGAGGTTTTACATGCCATTTACAACATTTGAAACTATTTTTACAGCAGTTAAGTCTTGTTAAGTTCTTTTGGTTAGTAACTGTTGACCTTGACGCAACACATAACATTACCACCTCAGAGCGTTTACTTCACGAGACAGGGAGCAGAGATACACGAACTACCGAGTTTAACACCGGTCAGCGAAATGCTTTTCACAGCTAAAGCTCACCACTATTAGTTTATGCCTTCGAATCAAGTTAGCGAACTCGCTTCGTTCAGGATGTACCAGTCTGTAGAAAGTGGTCTTTACAAGAGAAACGGAAAAAAGAGGACGGGTGATAGGTTAGCAAACTGTAGCCGCAACTAACAAGCATCCAAGTACAAAATCTCGAGACGGTTTTGAGAAAATAAGGCACTACTTCAACCTAATGAGCGGGAATTTTGAGAAAATATCATCATAATATTATTTTAAAAAGTCAAACTTTATAAAGATAGAATAGAATATATAACTTTATATACCTTTACAAAGATAGACAGAAGTCAAAGTTGCGACATACTGCTAAAAACAGAGGCAAGAAAACATCTAGAGACGTTTTTGTTTTAGCAGAAACTAGCAGAAACGGGCTTCCACGGGCTAGAAGATGAAGATAAAGATTGTGAAAGGGAATAGACTTACCTTCCACTACGCTGTCTTCCTCTTCGCGTGTTCTCCGCGGCTCCGAAGCCCAGCTGCTGCACTCATCCGCCGGCAGGCTGCACGTGTATCCCGGCAAAGTTTTGAGTTCAGCGCCTCTGCTGCTGTAACGGCGTCGCACGCGCTTCTTGTTTCCCGCCCAAACTGCCACAGGTAGACTCGTGCCGCTGCTGCTGCTGCTGCTGGAGCGCGTGCGGTTTTGCTTAGTAACGGAGATAAAATGAGCAGAGTCGTCTTTACCCCAAAGGCATCGCTTCCTCTAGATCCACTGCTGGGAGCGCGATAGTGTGCGTGAACCGGAGCGGCGTCCTCGGCTGAGGGAGCAGGCGAGTGAAACGTGGAGGAGTACGTTACGCACGGGCTTCAGCTCAGCCTACACTGCACCCACACGCAGGTAGCAGCTTATATAAAGAACTAAGGTCAATGATGCTCCGTGCGCCGTTAGTAGTGGAGCCGCGTGCTTGAAGGATATAATGAGTTGCCGCCATCTATTGTCCTCATTGGGCGTTAAAAAAATCGGTAGCACGGGCCAGAGTTGAACATACAGAAGAGCTCATTTGAACAGTGAAGAGTGCTACTTGCCTCTGCTGCTTGTTCACTCATTCCCTCACACACACACATACACACACACACACACACACACACACACACACACACACACACACACCATTATCCAAATCATCATAAACTCTGTAGGAGTACATTTCATTATGTAGGAGTTCATTTGCCCATGCTTTTACTCTGCTCTCAAAGACCACTCATTATTTCTTTCTCCCACTGACAAAGTGCACTATAGTTCACTATCAAATGAACCACAAGCTTAGCAAGAACAGCAGTTTTTCAAGAAAAGTCTCTAAAATTTGTTTTTAACCACATATTTAATGTTCCAAAGAAGGGGGTGGAGGGGATCAGCAGACTATTGCTTTGAAATACATGAATTAAAAAGAAAGCAGTATTAATGAGTACAAAAATATGCATGTAGACTATTCTTGGATTAAGCCTGTCTTATATATGAGCATATCATTTTATATATGAGCATATAAAAGATTAACCCAACTGGTTGTTCTGAACAAGGTCAAAACAAATCACATTTCCCTAAATGGCTTCCTCTGCTTTTACGGCCTATTAACTTGTGTTGTGAAATACAATGGCACTGCTTATTCATACAGAATTTGCTCATGAAATTGTCACATTTTCTCTCATGTATAAAGCCTTGCATTGAATTACAATAATAACAGCCTATTACATGCTTTCAGCAGATATGACAGCTGCTTTTGTACGAGCTCCAAATACTTCCAGCTCAACACTATGTCAATGCAAAGACGGCAGAAGAAGCCAAATTTAGCAGAATGCTAATGGAACAGGCTTGTGAAACTGTGGTGGCAGTTTGCATTGCTTGTGTGTACCATCCATCTTGGCAGAGACATTTGCTCTTCTGTTGTGGCATAAATTTCACTGAATAGTGCACATCTGCAGTCAAATAGCATAGGCAAATCATATGTAGCATGCCAGGCATGATAGGCTGTGCATATATCACCCTGATGCTAAAACGGGAAAATGGGCCCATCTATGCTGTGTTGTAAAAGTTTATGGGGTTATGTGAAATCTATAGTGTAAATGAAACCGCACAGAGATAAGGAACGAGTTTGCGCAGCTGGTCGGCGGTGTTAAAAGTAAATGCTTGCTTACGATGGGAATTGCATTCGCCATGACATATGATTCTGTGCAAATTCAGCAGAGAGGATATTTCCTGTATGATTAGGAGGCTGAAAGAAAAATGTCTGGTTTCTACTGGAGCTCTCTTGGCTGTTTAAGGAGCATCAGCAGTGGAGCATAGTGTAAAAGCTCATGGAAAGTTTGCTGAAGTGTTCCTGTGCTCCTACAAGGGCTTTATTACACAGGCTACAGCAGGCATATCAGGCGCTTCTAGTAATAATGAACTAATATGAATCAAAAGAGTGTGATGTGTGTATGTTAGAGATGTCAACTGATTAAAATATTTAACTGCGTTAGTTTGGGCAGTTAATCATGATTCATCATGTTTGTTTTCTTATTTACTTTAATTTTGCCCTAAAAGAAGATATTTTCCATTTAAAAAGTAATTCATTTCATTATAGCAACAGAATGGACAAAATAAGCCTAATCACAATATACTATTACCTTCATTGATTCAATTTCAAACCAACCTGAATTTGAAAATAAGGTGAACGCAGTCTAGTGAGAGCAACAGTAGCTGTATATTCCAACTCCTCCATAACATGGTCTCATACTGCATATATGCATCTTGTTTTGAGGGGAACTGGGAACTTTGCTGCTGCTTTTGGATTTTTCTGCTCAATGATTTATCTATACACACACACACACACACACAGACACACGTGTATATATATACACATACACACTATAAGACCAAAAGTATGTGCACACCTGACTAGCACACCTATATGAGCTTGTTGGAAACATGCTGATGTTGAACAAAAAAAATTATTTGTATGCTGTATCATTAAGATTGCTTTTTACTGGAACTAAGGGGCTGAGCCCAAACTCAGTAAAACAACCACAGACCATTATCCCTCCTGCACCAAACTTTACTGTTGGCACTATGAATTCATGTAGGTAGCATTCTCCTGGCAACATAGTTTATCCATTAGACTGCCAATGAAGTGTGATTCATCATTCTGGAGAACATGTTTTTACTGCTCCAGAGTCCAGTGTTGGCGTGCTTTATGCCACTCCAGCTGAAGCTTGCCATTGAGCATAGTGAGTAATCTTAGGCTTGTGTGCATCTGATTGTTAATGGAAAAAAATCACAGTTTTTGTGCTGATATTGCTTCCAGAGTTTGCATGGTCTATCACTTTATGGCTGAGTTGTTATTACTTCTAGGTGCTTCCATTTTACAATAATAGCACTAACAGTTAACTGTGGCAGATCTAACAGGGCAGACATTTCAAGAACTGAAAGGTTCTTGTGGTAAAGGTGTCATTCTATGACAGTACCATGTTTACAGTCACTAAGCTTTTAAGTATGACCCATTTTGCCTCCATTGTTACTACATACATACAACTACGTAATTTACAATATTAGTTTCATAGTAGCTGCTGAATAATTCAAAATATTCTCTGAACTCTTATGATTAATAACTGAATAATAAGCATGTAATTTAAAGGGCTAATCTCCCACGACTTGATATGAACATTTTCCTCCACGCTGGTGTCCTTGGCATGCAGCCTAGCAGTGCATCTGAATCAGAGGCCATGGGCCGCTCACGTGACCATGCCATGGGAGAGGACTGAAGGTGGAGGGCACCCTGTCTGGGCAGTGGCTGAAATCTGATGACAGCCGCTGAGAGCAGGTGCTGCCAAAACGCTGACCTGCCGCTGTGCAGAGGTCAAACAGGACTTCATTCCAGAGCCGTCTGTACATCGCCTGATGCTACCCTAAAGCTGAACGCTCCAGGAGAAGGTCCAGCTCATTAGGCTGAGAGAGAGAGAAGGAGAAAGAGGCCATCCACTCTTGTTTGCTCTCCAAAAGAGCCAGAGAGGGACTGAGCTTAATGGAGTCTGCTTTTTAGCTTCAGGGCTAAAGCCACAGTGCTGTCAAACGCATAGATCAATTTTCAGTTCCAGCAGTTTTAGCAGCTTTGCTTTTCCAAAGGAATTGTCACAGAAGAGAATGTTGTGGCATGACTGTGTGATATCATCTAAGTTATAGAGCTCTCAGAGAGAACTACTTGGTGCTTTTCCGTTCCTCAAAAGTGCAGCGACTGATGCTCGCTGTCTTGCTCTCATTCTGACTCTCTGTAAAGCCCTAATGGTGGCCTGTCACTGCATGTCAGTTAAAGCTGAATGAGCAGTACAGACTGCTCTCTACTCCAGGTACTGATTCCATCTCTCTACTCCAATGCACTTATTCCATCTCATTTAGACTTTCTTATGTTTATTTTGACATGGCAGATTTGTACTTAAAATGTCAGGTATTCATCTAATATTCATAGGTCGTTGATGTGTTCACAAAATAAAGACATGGTTAAGTGACTTTAATTATGTGTTTTATTCTTTCATATTGACTTTCCCAAGCTTCTCCCCCCTGAATAAAACCTTGTTCCAATCTGTTCTGCCAGTGGGACACTAAGCAGTTTGGCTCTTATCAGACATCCCTGAAACTGCACGTTCAGTTTATTGACAGCTCATGCTGCAGCTCTAAGCCTATTGCATTTAATGGTGGGAGCTCTTGGTAACATAACGGGCAAACATTAATCTAGATGGATACCTCATAAAGTAATGAAGGCTGTCGGGATGGAAGCTTTGAACCATAAATTTCTGCTAGGTGTAGCAGTTTAAAGGCAAGGCTCAGCAGACTTTCAGTGGTAGTTTGGTCAATTAAGGTCATCAAAGCATGCAGTGCATTTTTTACCACATTTTAATTAAAGCTGTGTAATGGGATAGTAAAACAGACTGAGAACATTACAATTTTGTTAATCAGGCCCATGTTATAAAAGTCACAGGACGTTTGTAAATCTGAAATGATTGATTACAATTGAATTATATTGTTTTTAGATTGTTGTGGGGATATTGTAACTAAAATGAGAACTTATCCATTCATCCATTTTTTACCAAGATAAAAGGATCAAAATACCCATAAATCTCAAGAGCATGATATAACTTGTTACTTTCAGTTATGGTTATTGTATGAAAAAATGGACATCTTTATTGTTTGTTGTTCTGTTTTGGCTTAAAGTCCTATTTGATTCAGTCTGTTTTGCACTGGAAAGATTGGTGTTTCTTGCCATCTAGTGGCCTCTTTGTGTCTTTAATACCGTGATGTCTTTATATGGTTCAATACTGTTACTTTTGATGTCTTAAAGACCTTTGAATATTTTTGGACTAAAATTAGTAAAAGCAAATGTAGACTGTGGGAAAATGCATATTTGAGCCTAATTACTGTAATATACTGTACGTACACTGAAAGTAGGACTGGGCAAATGGGGTAGAGACCATGTGAGACTAGAGTGAACACTGCTATTTGCATAGTGCATTTGTTTGGAGCACTGGGAGGTGTGGTCAAATGTCATTAATACTTCAGTTATATACTTTCTTCACTTTTAAGGTCAGTCATTTCTATTTTGTATTGTTGTCCACTAGATGGAACTGGAGTGCTTTGCATACGTTTTCTGCATTTGAAATAAGAGCGCAACAAGCCATGGTCATTTTCAGATATCCACATAAAATGAGATGCTTAATGTTGCATAATGTATTGTTCTAATGACCACTAATCCATCAAGCTGACATTTCTTAATTCAATAATTTATATTTTTATGACCCATTTAAATGATGATGCACTCTAACTGATGAACAATACCTTTGTTTCTGCTGACCATATGCTAATGCTACTAAGATCATTATTAAGCAGTTGCATTGGCCTCAGTGACTGATCCCCTAAAGCAGTAGATGAAGGTTCAGAGAGCTGCTATTTTCCAGCTCGAGCTCATCACTGGTGGAGCCTGACTGTGATCTGCTTATTGTCGCAGTCAGAGCTGTCTGCAAGATGACCTAAGTGATGAGCAGATAGATTTGGCACCATCGACACCAAGTAATACACATCACAGAATGCACTGGCAAGT